AAAATTTTTTTTTTTTTTTGCCCCCCCGGTGGTTGAGTTGTGGGGAGTTGGGTTCCCCCCCCCAAATTTGGAAATTGGGGAAGATTTTAAAATTGGAGAGGGGGGGGTTTTTAAAATAAAATTTTTTTGGAAATATCCGGCGACACCGAATTTTTTTACACCCCCTCTTTTTCTTTGTGAAAATTGCGAAAAACAAAAAATTTGTGATATTTTTCCCGGGGGGAAAAACCCTCCCCGATCCCCTCCTCCTTTTTTTTTTTTTTGCTATCTTATTAAGTATATGTCTCCACTAAAAGTCAGAGTACAGATAATTTTTTTTTTTTTTTTTTTTTTTTTTTGGCTTTGTCGATTGGTGCGATCGCGTGGAGTATTTAAATAACTAATATAACTAAAGGAAAACAAAACAACTCGCTAAATGCATGAGATATTTGCTCCAGAGCCATCAGAACACATTTATATTTATATTTATTTATCAAATTGTTTGATCCCGAAAATATCATCCCTGCTCACTTGCTCAAAATGAACCACCCATCATCCATCGGCTGAAGGCTGCTCTGAAAGCTATATAAAGCCATATATATATATATATATATTGGGGGGAACCGTTGACCATTTTTGGAAGAAGATCGGATCTCATACTACCTACCTACCTGTTTTCATATGCTGAGCTTGGAGGCTTGCGAGGTGAGTTTTGCTATCCATTAAATTCCAAAAAAATAAAAATAAATATATAAATAAATAAATAAATAAATAAATAAAAGGGTGTATCGTTTGGAACCAGGACCAACGGCCATTGGTTCGGATCAATCCTTGAGATTTATTGCTCGCCCTTTTTGAGTCGAGACAAATAAGCTTGAAAAGAAAAATTTCTCCCTTCATTTCTATTTCGATCTGTTCTTTCCACCGGGCTTGTCTGCTACAGTAATAGGCAACCCAGCCTACAGAGTAAACAAGAAGATATTTTGCCGACGGCTCTACCAGATTTACGAGGCACAATTTTAGCTCCATCATGGGACGTAAAACTACTTGTATCACCGCTTGTTTTCTAAACCACTGTGTAGGCAAAGAGACAATTGTCCAGCTCCATATCCGATAGTCTTTCCATCTGACCCTCCCTGATATCCATTAATCATTATTATTACATACACAGTAGTAGCTCTATAACCAGAGGCGAACTACCATAACGTCAAAAAGGGAGAGAGATAGATTACGCTGTAGGGAGTAACGTTAACTAGTTACTAACAACTGCGTAGATTACGCTGTAAGCTAACTAGCCCTAAGCCCTAGCCTTGCCCCAATCCGGCCAAGTCAAAACTTCCCCGCCCGCCAATTCATCATTGGAATCTTGTCAGTCTCAAGATAGATATTGAAGCTGCGAACTACTTTCATCCTGCGTACAACATTAACCAGACAATTATCCGCGGCCTCTGTTGTATGCTCTGTTTACGTTCCTTGTTCAGAATGGCCGAAGAAACCGCCGCAAAGAGGCTCAGGACCTCCCCTCCCACAATCGGCACTCACAAGTATCGTCCCAACATTCCCGAACTACATGCGCCAAAAACGCAGTTAAGTTCTATATAGTTTTAACTAACTTCAACCCATTTCTCCAGCGGCCACTTCCACGCCGATGAAGCCCTAGCCGTCTACCTCCTCCGCCTCCTACCAACCTACACCTCCTCCCCCCTCATCCGTACCCGCGACCCCTCCCTCCTAGCCACCTGCCACACCGTCGTCGACGTCGGCGGCGAATACGACCCCGCCCGCAACCGCTACGACCACCACCAGCGATCCTTCACAACTACTTTCCCGCAACATACCACAAAGCTCTCCTCCGCCGGCCTCATCTACCTCCACTTCGGCAAAGCCATCATAGCCCAACACACCGCCCTCCCCGTCGACCACCCCGACGTAGCCACCCTGTACGAAAAGCTATACACAGACTTCATCGAGGCGCTCGACGCGAACGACAACGGCATCTCCGTCTACGATAGCGCCGCCCTCGCCGCGGCCGGCGTGCAGAAACGCTTCCGCGACGGCGGCATCAATCTCGGCGCCCTCGTGGGCGATCTGAACCATCCAGACCCCACCGCGGCAGAGCCGCAGGACGAAGACGCCCTCTTCGAGAACGCGAGTAGGTTCATCGGCGGCGCGTTCCTGCGCAAACTGCGTGTTGCGAGTAGCTCATGGCTCCCTGCGCGCGCGACGGTGAGCGAGGCGTACAAGGCGCGCTTTGACACACATGCCTCTGGGCAGATACTGGTGTTGCCCACTGCGGGGGTTCCGTGGAAGGAGCATTTGTTTGCGCTGGAGGAGGCGGCGGCCGCGGCCGCGGCGGCAGAGGCTGGTGCGGATCTTTTGAGACAGGTGTATTACGTGCTGTACCCGGAGTCAACGGCGCCGGAGGCCAAGTGGCGCGTGCAGTGTGTACCGGTCACGGATGTGAGTTTTGAGTCCAGGAAGCCGTTGCCGGAGGCGTGGTGTGGGGTTAGGGATGAGGATCTGGATAGAGTGTTGGCGAGTGAGGAGGCGAGTGTGGTGGTACCTCCTGGTGCGGTATTTGTGCATGCGAATGGGTTTATTGGGGGGCATGCGACGAGGGAGGGCGCGTTTGCGATGGCGGTTAGGAGTTTGGGGTAAGATGTGAAGACTGGGGGATGTGTTTTGTTTTGCTTGTGTGGGAATCCATTTTGTGTTATTTATGCTTTGTGTTATGGAAAATATGAGTAGGGATAATAATATTAGGGTTATTGCGCTGCCGATGGGTACATAGTTGTGGTATTTCTCAAGACGTATTCTCGGAGTTAAGAAAGGAAAGGGGGATTCGGTTATGTTCAAACTGTATATATAACTCTCCAGTAATTCCTGCGCCAACAAGCCAAATCAAAATATCATAGACCCGTTATATTTCCATCCTCGGGCCATTAGCCCTTGTGTCATAACTAACCCCTGTCAGCACCCAAACTGGAGTCGCCCGCTGGCGATGCGCTTGATGCGGAAGCCGTACCACATCGACTTGTCTCCGTTAAATAACAACCGTAGCCATAACTAAGATGTAGCAAAAGGAGGGAACTAATACTGTCGGGTTTCCTCCCCCGCTAGCTAGGCGGGCCAAGGCCAACATTCCGTGGAAGAGCTCTTAAATAAATGGTTGAATGTTGAATGGCCCATGAGAACCCCCCCCCCCCCCCCCCGGGCGGGCTCTCTACAGGACTGGACTGAGGCATTCTGGCCTTCTATTTTCAGACCCGCCCCGACATAAGCACAGAGTCCATCCCTTCCTTGTGTCTGAAGGAATTCCTACGCTTCATCTCAGTTAATAGCTCTCCTTTTCCCAAATTAAGAGAAGAAAGGAAGGGACCGATCCAATTCATGAATCTGAGCCACAATTTCAATCCTTAATCTGCTGCATCCTTGCCGGCAACGTCCCAAAATCCTCAATACTATCCCCATCAACAGGGCGGCTTCCTTCCCGGCTATTATTTTTATTGTTGGTAACGGACGAGCCACCATCAACGGTATTCTGTTCGCCCAGGATCCTCTCTATCAATTTCACCTTCGCCACGGCTTTTTTCAACCGTTCGTCAAAATCCTCAACGGCATCTTCGGAGTTTTCCATGGAGAGCGCGAGCGGGTCGACGAGAGAGAGGAGGCTGGCGATATGTTTCTCTAGACGGGAGTTGCGGGGTAATGGGGGTAAGGCGGGCAAAGGAGTGGCGGGAGTATGGGTAGTGCCCAAATTGAGGATATCTACCTTATCGTTCTCGCGATTAGGACCCTGTGCTTTCGAGGGGGAGGAAGAAGATGATTTGGCAGAGGTATCTTGTGGAGATGTAGCGGTTGAAGTGGATGGTAGGTTCAGGAAGCCGTGGTCTCCTGGTAATCTTTTGGCCCAGACGATAGCTTTGCCGTATAGCCTGCCTATTTCCTGGAACTTCTCGAAGCCCTTCTCCACGGCGAATACACTGCCTTCGCTGTAGCCAGACCGGGCGCCGTCCGTGGCTCCCAGGTCGTAGCCCTCCTTGTAGAACCCCCCCTCCAGGTCCAGGAGGCTGTCAAGCAGGTCGTGATCCATTGTCCAAGTCGTATAAGAGGAAGCAATGGCAAGTGACAACAGCTGTATGTATATGCTATATATGTTACATATGCTGCTCAGAAACTGTAGGAATCGTAACGTTGCCGTGGTCACAAGAAGGGCGTCGTCGAAGATGCGGGTTGGAGTCACAGTTCAGTTGGTGAGGGGAAGAATCAAGTCAGCGCAGAAATGACTCAAACTCTTTGTCACAAATATTTTCTACCCCGCCAAAATCTTTCTTTCCAACCAACACAACCACCAGCAAATAACGCGCATCATGACGACGGAACAAAAGATCCTCCCCAAGAAGGGTGAGAGGAATATCCTCATCACAAGCGCTCTTCCCTACGTAAACAACGTTCCCCATCTGGGCAACATTGTCGGCTCTGTCCTCAGCGCAGATGTATTCGCAAGTTATGTGGCCCTCCCCTATATTAAAGCAAAAAAGGTAACTAATATCCCCACAGATACCAGAAGGCATGCGGCAGACCTACGCTATACGTCTGTGGTACCGATGAGTACGGCACAACAACAGAAACCAAGGCGCTGGAGGAAGGTGTGACACCCGAGGAACTCTGTGCAAAATACAACAAACTCCACCGGGAGGTCTACGAGTGGTTTGAGATTGGTTTTGATGTCTTTGGCCGCACACCGACGGCTCAACACACGGAAATTTCTCAGGAGATCTTCAAGAGGCTGTATGAGAATGGGTTCCTAACAGAAAAGACCGCCGAACACCCCTTCTGTGAGAAACATGACTCGTTCCTCGCGGACCGCTACGTCGAGGGCGAATGCCCACGCTGCGCGTATAACGACGCGAGGGGAGACCAATGCGATAAATGCGGGAACCTTTTGGATCCCTTTGAACTGAAAAATCCCCGCTGCAAGCTTGACGGAGCCACTCCTGTCCTCCGCAATACGAGGCACATCTACCTCATGCTTGATAAGCTGCAACCGGAGATCGAAGCATGGGTTCATCCTGCCATAGAAAAGGGAGACTGGCCTAAAAACAGCCGCGTGATTACTGAGTCATGGTTAAAAGAGGGCCTGAAGGATCGTTGTATCACCAGGGATGTGAAATGGGGCGTCCCGGTCCCCCTTGAAGGATATGAGAAGAAGGTCCTCTACGTCTGGTTCGAGGCATGTATCGGATACCCCTCCATCACTGCAAACTACACACCAGACTGGGAGCTCTGGTGGCGAGATCCGGACAATGTCCAACTGTACCAGTTTCTCGGCAAAGATAACGTGCCATTCCACAGCGTCATCTTCCCAGGCACCCAAATTGGAACCAGGGATAAATGGACCAAGCTCCACCACCTTAGCACAACCGAATACTTAAACTACGAGAACGGCAAGTTCAGCAAGTCCCGCGGCATCGGCGTCTTCGGTGACAACGCACAGGAAACAGGCGTTCCAGCAGACGTCTGGCGCTACTACCTGTTAAAGAACCGGCCAGAAACTGGCGATACACAGTTCGAATGGCGCTCTTTCGTCGATGCCAACAACAGCGAACTTCTCGCAAAGCTGGGAAACCTGGTCAACCGCATGGTCAAGCTGGTCGCAAGCCCGAAAGCCTACAACTCCATCGTCCCCGACTTCACCGTCACGGAACCCTTCAAACCCGCCCTGGAGGAAATCACCACCTTACTCCGCCAGTACATCACGGAGATGGAAAGCGTGCACCTACGCTCCGGCGTCGGGACAGCCATGAAGATCGTCGAAGCCGGCAACGGCCTGATCCAGTCCAACAAGCTCGATAACTCCCTGATAGCCAACGAGCCCGAGCGCGCGGCCGCCGTCGTCGGCATCGTCGTCAACCTCATCTACCTTATCTCCAGTATCTTCAGCCCGTACCTGCCAGCGACCTCGGCATCGATTCTCGAACAGCTCAACGTGCCCTTCACGAATATCCCATCGCTCGACGACCTGAAAGACGAAGGGTGGGAACCCGAGCTGATCAAACCGGGCCATAAGATTGGGAAGGCGAAGTATTTGTTTTCACAGATCGATCCGAAGAAGGCGGATGAGTGGCGTGAAATGTTCGGGGGGTCGCAGGCGGAGAGGTTGAAGAAGGAAGAGGAGGCTGCGAAGGCGTTGGCGAAGAAGGCGGCGACAAAGGCGAAGAAGAAGGAGAAGAAGAATAAGAATAAGGATAAGGAGCAGGGTGGTGGTGGTGGTGAGGCTGCTGCTGTTGAGAAGCTGGCAGATGGAGTTGCGCAGACTACTATTTCCAATTCTTGAGACTTTGAAATAAAACTAGATGTTTTGTTTTTTTCTACTCTACTTGTTTTAAAGGTAGTATGGGGTGTTTGTTAAATGTATTTGCGATTTTATGATCATTTCGGGTTTTTCCGCTCCCCAAGACTATCTGATCATGTCATTGTTCTTTCTATTGCGATATGTTTTACCTTGGCTGTTGCATGGCAATCGTTTTCTGCTTGATGTTTGTGTCTTCACCTGTGCTAGTTAGTTATATTTAAGCAAAGATCAGACTTTTCCATTATTTTACTCTTCCTCGTTCTCTCCTATTAAGAAGTTAACTGCCATTATGAGCAAGGTAAGGGAGCGCGGCAGTAGTATCGTTGAAGAGAAGATGACATAGTGCAAGAAGGTAACGTTACGTACTTACTCTGTAAATCAGCCAAAAGGAGGGCATTAGAAAATATAAAAGGGGAGGGGGAAATTTTTTTGTGTTGACTACAACGTGGAATGGTTCGGCCTCTTATTTACCTAGCCGGGGGTGGTGATCGAGCTCTTTTTTTCGCCCCAGTGTCCTGCAGTTTGAACAATGAATAAATAAATAATAGCCATCAAAAGAAAAGGGAGGTATCACGAAACAACTATCTATCTAGCTAAATGATGATGATTGGGAATTGAACAAAATTGAAGGGGTAAAATAAAATAAAAAGAGCCCGGCGTGAACAACATGATCCCAACCAAGAAAAAAAAAAAAAAAAAAAAAAAAAAAAAAAAGATCTCTCGATTTCCCTGTTGTTCCCCTGGTTCCTCTGACTTGCTCCGAGATAGCAATGACGCCCTTCCCTACTTCCCCCCCCTCCTTCTTTCGTTGACAACATATCTGTGTATGGGACAAATAACAAAACGAAGCTTATCGTCGCATCCCTCCCAAGTACCTTTGGCTAAGGGGAAGGTTTTGGGTGGGCAGGTGTAGAGTATATACGGGAGCCTCTTCTCGCAGGTGAAAAGAAAAATTCCTATCCCACCCTACGTTGCCGTACGGACGGAATGTTTGACCCGCGTCCCATGTGTTCGCCCTCACACACACACAAGATTTTGCATTTATCTACGTCGAGACTTGGGGGTGTGGTTGTGGGGAGGAGGGCAAAGGGGTAGAAAGGGGTAGAACAGCCTCCCCTCTCACTAAAAAGCTCTCGGCGCGGGGGACCGTTTTGAAAAATATATTTAAAATGTTTTTCATTTCTGTTTTATTCTTCGTAAATAAAATATATAAGAAAAAAAAAAAAGAAAAAGAAAAAGAAAAAGAAAAAGAAAAAAGAAGCCAAAAACTAACCATATCATCTCGTTCGCCTCGCGCCGGGACGTGGTCTAACCTCATCCGGAATGACAGGGTGCATCATGACCTTATTCGGTGTCTGCGGCGTATTATTCGTATACCCTTTACTCCAATCATAACTAACCGCATACGCAAAAATATTCCCCGTTTTATTAAACGCGGAGCTGGAAATAGTCCCGCCCACCGACGGATACCCCTTCAGCCGATGCTTGGCATCCTTATCCCAGAAGTGAAACGTCCCATCACTACCCGCCGTGCTAAACGTGCCGTGCACGGGGTGGAACGCAATCGAATTGACCGCATAGACATTACTAACGTCGCGCGTATTCGGCGGGGTCTCGCGGTGGCATTTGAAGCTGAAATTGGAGCTGGAGTCCTTATCCTCGACGTACTGGATGGCGCAGCGGCCCTCGATGGAGCCGGCGGCGAAGCCTGTGGCGTCCGAGAAGCAGCTGACGACGCGCGTCTGGTATTTCAGCGGCGACTGCATGGTTTTGTAGAACTTGGTGGGCTGGTCGAGGTTGACGATGTTGATGTAGCGGTCTGCAGTGCCGATGACGAGGAGCTTGTTTTTCACGTCCATGGTGTAGACGCGCTCCTGGCATTCGAGCGTGCCGATCGGTGTCGACTGGCGCAGGTCCCAGAATTTAACGGTCTTGTCCCATGAGCCTGTTATGAGGAGGGATTGGGCAGAGTTGCCTGGATTGGGTATCATAGCGCAACATCTGATCGGGGCGTCATGGGCGGCGACTTGAACGGGGGTTGTGGCATTTGCTTGTAGGTCCAGCATGCGGGCGGCTTTATCGACGCCAGCGCCAACGACTTTGGTACCATCCTGGGTGGTGTAAAATGGTTAGCATGGGTTCTATCTTTATGAATATATTTCATATTTCGAACTACGTACCGGAGCCCAGCAGCAGCTCAAGACGGGAGCTTCATGTTCAAAAATCGCCTTCCCTTCACTCTGACCCTGCTCGTTGATTTCGTATATGCGGACCTTCTTGTCCCATGACGCTACGGCGAGATGATCGCTCACTGATGAAAACGCAAGATGTGAGACGCTATCTTCGGGGGGAGAGGTGAGGGCGACATCTTTCGAGAGGTCGCCGGCGGTGTTGGCCGTCGCGGTGCTGGTGGTTGTGGAGCCGAAAAGAGCCATGGCGAGGAGACTTCTAGCGATTCCAACGCCAGGACTATTGCATCTGTTGAAATTATATTTAAGCAGACTGAAAATTAAAGTAACTAGCAACTTTCTCAGCGGGTATCAAGAACGGGGCCTTCGTTGAAGAAGAGTGCTGGGGTTTGGCGCTGTCTAGTTAGCAATTTATTACTTATTTGCTGCTTTTGCTGCAGGCGAGGTCGAAGCTTGGTGATATTGGCTGCAAACAAGACAAACACTGCGCCTGGCTTCTGCCTGCAAAACTCTCCAGGGCAGAACCCGGCTTCAATTCTTTCTCCGGCACCAACCAACAACCCCGAGCCCTGAACGAGGGATGATTTGTGAGGAGTTGTAGACAGTGTGGAAAACCAATAGCTAAGATGGCTCTAATAATAGCTAAGGATATATATACTAGGAGTAACTAATAATAGTAACAGTAGTAAGTAGCAGTAACAACTAACTAGGAACACTCCAACGACAAATACAATAAGTGTTAATAATATTAAAATTTACATCCGTCAATAGACACGGTCTATGAGTCATCCGGAAACTCCTTTGGTTGAACTAGCAGAAAGTCTTCGGTTGCGCTCTCCAATCTGCAAGCGTTCTATATAGACACCGGACAAACTTGAAAGAAGAGAGTTAAAAATATTCGATTTCTTCTCTAGAGACAATCCCGCTTGTTCAATCTCGAGATCCGGGTACTTCCAAGGGAATCATGCTTTGGCATGTGAGCCCCTGGCGTAAAAGACTTATCCAGCACTGCGAAGACTCTTTAGAAACTCTCAGCAAGCAAGGCAGGATGGCTTGGAAACGCCGATGTACGGAATCGCTTGAGCACCTAATCGGCTTCCGCGGACTAGATGAAGCGCTAGCAAGCACTCACAGTGTATAGCACATGTAATATTCTGCTTCCCATCAAAGCGTTTCCGAAGCGTGAACCCCGGGCTCTCCACCTCCGAAAGGTCGTCTAGTAGCGAGGCTTCTCCATTGCTCGCTAATATGTGCGGGAAATCTCATGCGTGGTGAGAATCAGGAAGGGAAATGTTTCTAGGAGTATTTTTCAATGTCAAAATACGAATTTCAGCCCCGTTTCAAATTACCCCTGTATAGTTGCGGTGAGTAGGCGTATTTCAATAACGTATCGATTGAATTCGAAGTGGATTGCCATTTTCTTCAAGAATTTCTCCAGAGGGAAACCTGACAGATGCAGTTAGTACTTGAATGACAACAATAGGAAAGAATAGGATCCAGAAAGAGTTTACGGAGCATGAAGGAGGGTAATGATCGGAAAATTTCAGGAGTCCAAGCTTTGATCTTCTTAAGTAATTCGTCCACCACTGCGCCAATATGGGTCATTCCATCCACGAAAGGTTCAATTTCTGCCTCGGGTAACTGGTGCGGATGTATCTGGAATAAGCGTACCATCCAGCGAATAATGAAGTAGATATCTTCTTATGATCTGTAGTTCTCTGTGTTGCGAGCTGCTAGGCAACGTCCCAACGAAATCCACAAAGGCTTGTCCTCTTGTCGTTGCACCCCACGGCTTCTGAAGATGTTGTTTAGGGAGGGCGAACAGACAGATTTTGGCCCGGAAGGTAGCGACCATGGTTTGAAGATGAATGGGAAATCTGTTCTCGTCCATACATGGCGATGATTCTCTCTCAAGCTCACCTTCGGAAACGCTTGTATTGCTGGCTTGAATATTGTCATCCACATCCTCCGCTACACCTTTCCGGAGGTCTGAAAAGTGGCTGCCAAGGCTCTGCAAGTCTGCAACAAGATCCCGAGCATATTCAAGAGTGCTGTTTGGAATCACTTCGTTTGAAGCAATAACGAAAGTGTATATACCACCGACCGTCTGCTGCTGTAGTCCCACCTCAATGACTTCCCCACACGATTTAGAGACCAGTACGTTTGAGATGGCGCCGAGGATATGGAGTAGTCAAAAGTAAACTCAGATTGACGCGGCTGTTCGTTCGGTATCTCTACCTTAGTGAGCAGAGCAACCACTGTTTCGATATCCATCACTTGAAAGCATCAAGTTATGAGCAGTCATTTGGTATCGAGGTGCAGAGAACTCAGAAAGATAAGCGCTGATGGAAATCCGATGCTTCTAACATCTAGGATTGGCGCCAAACCGCATCAGGCTGACTTACGCTAGACCGCATCCGAACACACTAGACCCGAGGCGGCGGCGGCTCAACCTTAATCTGACCTTGAAACCGGCCATACAATCTTTAGTCTCGCACTATATACTCCGTACATCTAGTTGTCAAAGAAGAAGAAGAAGAAGAAGAAGACACTAATGTTACATGTTACTTAATTTCTTCATATCTTGATTCTTGGGAAGCTGTTTCTTCAGATCACTTTCTCACAGAAGTTTACAAGGATGACCTGCAAATCTTACATCATTCTGCAAAGAGGCTAGAGGGCCAGAGTAAGTTCTACTGTACTCCGTACGGAGGAGCACATTGTCAGGAAAAAGAGGTTATACACTACTGAACGCCACCAACATCGTATTACTACAATATTTCTCATCATCATCAGCTTACTACAATGCTCATCTAATACTCGCTTATGCTAGCTCTCTTGGCTCGCACATATATTTTACTATAAATAGCTCCATCTTTTGTATGAAATAGATATATTAGATAGTGTACGGATAATATAACAAGCAGATCTTGATACAGATAAGATTCATATGTCTTCAACATATTCATTCATGACACTCAATCCGACAGTTATGAGCCCAGTAAGCAGCATCTGAAGAGAAGCGCAATACATCAATCTCAATTCTCATTCAAATTTAACAACAATCATTTGAACTGAGATGATTGATTCTCATTCATATACAGTCTGATCAACTTGACTGTTATATCATACCTGATTCTCATCCTCATTCAAACTGATAACTATCATTTGAACTGAGATAATAGATTCTCACTCATATATGTTCTGAAATACTCAACTGATATACACTCTGAATTCTGATCATATTCACAAATACTTGAACTGATTCCTCAATTCATTCAATATAACTGATATGACAGATAAGACAATATCTAGTGTGATAGTTCACCTTAGTGTTTCTGAAGATTGGAAACTTTGATACAAGTGTATGCTAGAATATGCAAAGAATAAGAAGATATCAGACTTTATCAATCTTAATAAACCTGATATCTTCTCTGAACTAGAAGAATCTCTGAAACCTGAGTGTTCAGAAGAAGTCACTGTGAAGGTCAAGATAGCATATGATATCAAGATCACTGTGTGGAAAATCAAATATATGAAATATGAGAAATTGAATGAAGGTATGACAAAGATATAAGATGTTATATGAAGAACAGTGAATGTCACAGAGCTATGACATATACACAGTGAGAATGATGATGTGAAGAAGATTATTCATTTATTAAGAGATTAACTCTCACTCATAACTGTGAATTATTAAGATAATGTGAGAATCTGATATCATGATCTCTGCAAAGCACTGAAAAACAGAGATATAGAAAAGTGATTAAATGACTGATCACTCATTGAAGATAATATCAAAGAGACAGATATAGCTGAACAGTTCAACTTGAAGAAAGACTTCTTAAATGTGAATCTAGCTATTGATGCAGAATATATACAAGCATGAATAAAGAACATCTAATATGATAAAGATATTATATCTTTGATAGAGTTAGTTAAGAACTTCAAGAAACAGTATAGAGAAATAAGTATTCTTAAAGAAGATAAATCTATGAACTTTGCTACTCTTAATGAAAGATCTCAGTAATTATCATCAGTAATATTCAGAAACTGCATCTGCAGAGCCTGTCACTGATACACTCAGTGCTACTATCTCAATTCATTAAGAAAGTCATCTGAATGAAAGAAAAATGAGGAGAAGAGAACTCAGATCAATCAAGCTCTTAAAAATCAAGAATTGAAGAGATATATTAATTATGTGATATCTAGAGATTCATTCATGAATACAGATATAATAGATGTCAATGAAGCAGTTATAGAAGAAATGATTCTGAAGTAATTAGTTTCTCAATCTATCAATCATTAATCTATTGATCAGCAAATCTGAAAAATATTAATAAACTCTTCATATTCTCACTTCTATCTCTGAAACTTCTGAATCTTTGATACTGATGTGAAACAGTATATATGCAATAATCAAACACATTTCTTATTCTTTAAATCTGTAAATGAGAATGTGAAAGTCTATACAGACAATTTCAGCACTAAAGTTGAAGATTATGAAACTGTTAGAACTATCATGATAAATGAAGCAGAAAAGCAGTTCAATGTCAAACTTATCAATACTGTGGCATTCACTCTTGCTACTTTCTGAGGCTTCTGCCTCTTCCTTTCTGAGGCTTCTGCTTCTTTCTAAGGCTTTCACCTCTTTCTTTCTGAGGCTTCTGTCTCTCCCTTTCTGAGGCTTCTGTCTCTTCCTTTCTGAGGCTTCTGTCTCTTTCTTTCTGAGGCTTCTGCTCCTTTCTTCTGTAAAAGTCAATCACAATAAACAAACAAGCATATATATATATATATATAGAGGCGTCCACTCATCTCCATCTTGAAGAATAAGACAAGATTTACCTTTTTACATGTATGATATGTGATCAGCATACACTACAGGTGATGTATACTGCAATTTGATAGCATATCTCATTAAGAATAAGATTCTCAGTCCTCTTAGATTCTGCTCTGTCTTCAAAAGATGCAACACTGGTGATTGGTCTGGATTGCAAATGATGAAGTTCAGTCAACTGATGATTGATCTGGTTGATTTCTCTACATTCTTCTCATCTTCAAGAAGATGCAACACTGGTGATTGGTCTGAGTTGCAGATGATGAAGTTCAGTCAACTGATGATTGATCTGGTTGACTACTCTACCTTTTTCATCACTGCAGCTGATAATCAGTTCAGTTATGATAGACTCACTCTATACATGTCTGTTACACACTGCAATGGAGCAGGACAGATGTCTCACTAGAAGTGGCTCCTGCCAGCCGCTCCGCTCCGCCGGGCCGGATGAGTTCACTGAGAAGTGAGCTTCCTGTGAACCTGCTCAGGGATCTGACACTGGGCATGTCTACTCACAGGCAGCAGTGGAGAAACACACTGTCATGATCACAGAGGTCTGACAGAACACAAATGAATGATATGATAGTGTCAAGGATCAAGTCACATCATACAACTGTGTTAAGGCAGAGGGCATTCTTATGAAAGTGTTCACCAGGTGTTATAATAATGTTAAGACAACTCTTGACTCAGTTTCTGTCACAGAATGAAAGAATGTTATTGGTCCTTGGCTACAGACTTTCTGTACAGAGGTCACAAAGTATATGAAAGAAAGGGAGTCAATAGCTTCAAGCTATATTGAGTTTAATGGCCAGAGTCATGCCTCTCTCAATGAAGCTGCTGTATTAGATATAATTGAAGAGTTGAAGCAACTGAAGTCTCAGCTGGCTCAGTGAGAAAGTGAACTAGATGAGTGTGAGTGCTAGCTCAATCAGCAGCAGAATCAGCTGAATAAGTGTATTGCTCTTGTTAATGAGTGTGTCAACAAGCTTCAGAACAATCTTCAGTGTTTGACAGACAGAAGAAGCTGACTGACAGAGGTATGAAGCAACTTCTGTATGAAGAAAGCAGTGCTTGCTGCTCAGAGGCAAGAGCAGTAGTGTGAAAATCAACAGCAGCAGGAACAACTGACTCAAGTTGAGAATGATGATTCTCTCACTGAATCCTCTCAGCAACTGAATGCCTTATTTGATGAAGGCTTTGAATCACCCCCTAGGGCCCTGTGAACACTCACAATCTCAAGGGGGCTGCATGGTGCTGAGTGAGGTGTGTTCAGGGGCAGGACTCACTGCTCAAACATGATGAGAAGTAGATTCAATTTTGCATGAGAGACAGACATTCTGTGCTTCATCTATAACACAGAAGAGAATTGAGTCTGCAGAGAGCAAGCGCCCGCAGTATTCTTAAAGAAGGAGACCTGTCTCACCTGTGATCATGGTGACTTCCTGCTAGACAATAGATCTCATTCATTCTCATGGCAGATTGGTGGTGCGGTCTGCTACACTGAAGATGATGAATGAGAATGTTCAATGTGACTGAGAGCAGGTGATGTTATGCTGTTTGATCTGGTGGAAGCAGATGTAATAGCATTCATCAGTCATCTAGAGTTTATTGTCATGCAGGAGGGAGAAGATGCAGTACTCCAGATCTTTTCATTATGCTTGAAGAGACAGATGTTAGAATGACACAACAGCCTGTCTATGAAAATGAGAAAGGATATGAGCACTTCTCTCCTCATCACAATCAGTGAGCTGAGGTGAGAATTCCAGCTATCTGAGGAAGAAGCCTGGATGAAAGCTCAAGAACTGCATTTCTTCTTTAAGAAGTTGAACAAGCTGTCATTGACACTGTATATCTTGCGGAAGATTAACTTGCTGTGAGCTATCTCAATCTCTGACTCCACAATGGTGAAGAGACTTCTATGAGAAGGGTTGAAGTTGAATCTATCTCTGATCACATCCCTTGTTCTCACTAAGTGCCTGAATGACTTCTGAAGAAGAATTAGAGACAATGAGTCAGCTGTCTGATGTGCTTGAACTGATTGAAGAACTCAATTCACTGAATATATATGAGGCTTCAGATGATTTGATCAAAATAATGACTGCCATTCTTATCAGGCTCTCTTGACCAGGTCATATATGAAAACTATCAAGCCACCTGTGCCTGCTGTGGATCTCATGGTGACTCCCCCTGCAAGCGCCCCTGCAGTGAGCAGGCTGCTGATTAGGCATGCAGAGGGCAAATCACCAGTGCTTATAGCAGAGTGCTATGTGTGCAGAGGCCCTCATTACACCAACTGCTGCCTCAGGAAAGAGAACCTAGTGAATCAAGTTGAATGAAAGAGTGATGAAGAAGAGGATGATGACCTATTACAACTAGACCTCAGTCTAGATTCTGATGATGAGTTGAAAAAATAGACAATGAGTCAGGCACTGAGAGGCCT